TTTTGCTGTGTGATTCTTCCACGTCAGTAAAGACAGACACTCAATAAAACTGTAGAAGTGGCTTGGAAGATATTTTCAACAAGTTCAGTGCTTTTTGTTTTAGTCTAGGTGCTAAAATTTTAAATATATGGATTCAGGTGTTCCAATCACCTCCATGGCCTCATGTGTATAAAATCAAGCACCTAGGCATGCAGGCTGCTTCTACAAACATTAGTGAAAGAATGGGTCGCTCTCAGGAGCTCAGTGAATTCAAGCATGGTACCGTGATAGGTTGCCACCTGTGCAATAAGGACATCCAAGAAATTTCTGTGCTCCTAGACAAAAACAAGCAGTTAACCCTTGCAGTGCGGGGGTAGCCCCACTGCAAGTGTTAATAAACATTGTTCCCGGAGTTCTTCTTTGCGTGTGACTAACTACTACTAGCTAGTTTAAGAAGCTGCAAGTTAAAACAGATTATTGAAGAATATCACCAGCACACCAAAATCGATAACAGCAAATAAGTGTTGGTCAGATGGTCATCTCTGAGCCTGATGAAGGGGACCCTGCGTGGCCCGAAAACGTTTGCAAATGAGAGAAAGCATACGTCAATAAATTAACACTTTGCTGTAATCAATGATTTGGGGCGCTGGTGACATTCTTCAACTATCCACATGTGGCGGCACCATCCGCAGTCATTTCAAGCACCTGCCGGATTCTATATGGCAATTCGGGGAAGGAGTGCAGATTATAGGACAATATAAAATATTTGGCTCCATCTCATTTTTTGTCCATGACTCAGTTTATATGACTGAGTAAAAGTTGGGGCTATTTATCTTGTCATTTTGCTTGGAAATTAAAAAGGCACCTGTGCGTTTTTTTCTGGCTGTGTCATGTTAAAGGAGCTGAAAATGCTGCTTCGAGGAAGAGCATTAATCAAAAACCCTAAATGCTTCAGAGCTTGATAAGGAGAATAACACTGTCACAAGTTTTAAAACAGATCCCCAGTAAAGTCTTTGTATAGAGTCTATAAACTAGTCTAAAAAAATGTGCTGATAGACAAAATACCAAGAACTATCAATAAATAGATAAAGTATCTGTTCAGCAGCTACAGGAAGTATTTTGTTTAGTAAATCAGAAGATTATGAGGAACACGAAATATAAATATTGCATTTAGATACTTTTGCCATTAATGACCTCAAAGTGACACTAAACTCAGGAGTTGAAACTTAAAAATGCATTCAAGTTAACAAAAATGTACAGGTAGTCCCCAGGTTGCATACAAGATAGGTACTGTAGGTTTGTACTTAAGTTGAATTTGTATGTAAGTTGAAACAAGTAAATTTTTTAAGTGCAACTACAGCCAAAAAAAAAAAAATTGTAGTTTTGGATAGCATAGGGAAGGGTCATGTTTGTTTTGCTATCTGTTTCCATTGTTCAGAAGATAATAATTTTTTTTTTAATGTTTTATTTAAAATGACACACCAAAAAAAGTTTTTTTTTTATTTTACAAACTTTTTTTATTTGTTTGCATTTTAAATTTGTATTCATTTAACTTTTTTAACATTTTTTAGCCTTTTTTATTTTATTTTTAATTTTTTTTAAACCTTTTTTTATTTTTTCTTTAATTCTAATGCTGGGAGCAATAGCCAGCCTGTTATTGAATATTTCAAATTGCAATAGCAGGCTGGCTATTGCATCTGCCCACTGCCTGCTGTCAATTAGCAGAGGAGGGGCCTGAAGGAGAAAATTCTCCATCAGGTCCTCCTATGCTGATTGACAGCAGGCAGTGGGCGGGTGCAATAGCCAGCCTGCTATTGGCAATTGCATTTTACAATAGCCGACTGGGTATGGCTCCCAGCCTGCAGATGAAGAGGAGGCAGGAGGGCGGGGTAGAGAAGAAGCGGCCGAACCGGGGGAGCGGAGGAGCCGACGGACCGGAGAAAGAGGAGCCGACGGACCGGAGAAAGAGGAGCCGACGGACCGAAGGAAGAGGAGGAGAGGATGGACCGGCAGAAGAGAAGGAACTGCTGGGACAGCAGCAGAGGTATGGTGTACAGCGGAGGAATGCTGTGATCTGTGCCCCCGCTTCCTCCGCCAACACAGGCGGGGAGAGCAGCGGGGATTTGAAGGGACACAGGCCACTGCAACCACAGTCGGACGTCCGTAAGCCGGGATCTGCCTGTACTTTATTTGTGTATCACTCGGCTGTAGATCCTCAAATCATCTCTGAATTGGTGCTGACACTGCCCTTCCTTCTGGAGGGTGGCTACTTTCGTTCCCCATGGTCCCTGTGTGTGTTGTAAAGTAGTCACCGCTCCAAGCTCCCTCCCATCATGGACTACAATCTCATGTTTAGCTTATTAATTTGTACTTAAATTTTAAAGTTTCTTGTGGGGGGAAAAAAAAGAACATGCGTTAATAATTAAGGTGCTTGAAAGCATTTTTAAGATTTAACTCCTGAGTTTAATGTCACTTTAATTGTTTAAACTGTCAGAACTATTGGGCCGAAAGGAATCAATTTCATAGGCCTAAACATGTTATTTTACAGATGTGTCTATGGGCATACTGGTGGCCATTTTGTCTGTTTGCTAAAAGGTGAAGAAAAGTTCATTCTTCTTGAATAGAGACTTTCACAGAGAAGGAGTTAGGAATTTTAGCATAAATAGTCTCAGATCGTAAATTGTGGGGGTCTCAGACGCACATCAGTGAAGGATGGTGCCAGCCTATGTAAGTCTTGATTGATGACTTTCTTGCCTCCACAAAAGAATATAATGTAAACAGATACTGGAATGTCTAAAGAGTTTTTTTTGTTTTTTTTTCTCAATGAATAAAAGAAAAGGGGCTTATTTAAAGTTCCTTATGAAACATTACTATTCATTGTGGTGATATTAGCAATAATGTGATTATATTATTATATGCAGCATCTATGTCTATTTAATTGAATAATTTCAAGTAAAATCTGATACATGTACTTTTAAATATACCAAACTATATTCATTATATATTGTTTGAATGTACCCATTGAAACATATTAGTATGTATTACTAATAATAGGGTTTTTTATATTTTAAGTGCAAAGAATTAGGTGGTATATGCCAATGTATATTCTTTTCTTATATGCATGAAAAACCTCTGGTTCTTCAAAACTAATCACCTCACTTTTAAGGAATTTAGAGGAGGATTGCTAATTGCTTTAGGTTAGATTGTTCTCCAGGTTGTAAATTGAAGTAGACCTAAAGTCTGACAGTGTGTAATCAAGTATTGTCAAAATGTTATATTCATGACTTTCTCCAAGGGCTGAGTTGAGAGGTTATCTCACTGCCTTATCTTTAGAAATTAGTGAAATTAAATGAAATGATCCCAACTTTTATATAGAACAATAGTGCCCCCTGGTGGTGATTGTGAGGGAAAGGTCTAGGGCAAAAAGGACATATTTGACGTCATGTTTCACGTCAATAATCACGTGGAAGACCAAACCAAGCCCACATCACAGGGGGTATATAGAGAGGGGACAAGGATTCCAGAGGGGAGATTCCAACACCAAGGCAGTAAGCAAATACATTCCAAGGGTATAGGTCGTAAGCTGAGGACGGCTGTCCAAGGAAACTGAACTAAAGAGAACCTGACTATCCCTGGTTGCTGAGCATTGACTGCTGACTTCTTTCAAACAACTTAATTTTAAATTGCTGGTAAAGTATACTTTCTATCTGTATATTAGGCAATTCATTAGCCACATATATATATTTGGGTAAACCATTGAGTTCTTGTAGGATCTAGATTGATCTAAGATAATTTTTAACTGCAGTAAAAATTGTGTCTTTCAATCTTGGGAGATAATTATATACATTTGTATAATCTCCAGGAAACTAATTTCAGTTTCTAGTCAATGGTCTAGTCTGATATATATATTGAATTAAACTGGTGGTAATTTTTCTCTACTTTGACTGGTCTTGGCTTATTGCCAGCCCTGTGCATGATGGGATAAATGTCGCCCATGCGCTGTTAAAAGTTTGAGTTTGTGAATATCTGTGCTGGGAGAAGTCACATGTAAATTCTGAGCCTTTTGTTTTCTTATTCTGTGAGATACTGAGAAGATACCCATTACATTTAAAAAGTCGTTTTATTTTGGTTACATCTATCTTTTGAATTAATATCCAGTGGTTACATTTTATGCATTACCTGTGATATCAAATTAATTGTTATTATCTGATCCATATTCTTTGTTTGTCACCAACTATATTTTCATTATTATTCTGCACTGATTTTGAGTTAATAAATATATATATATATATATATCTTTTGTATATTTTTGTATTCCTCATCTTCAAAGTCAGCGCAAATGAAAGAACTCGTGTAAATTTTGATTTATGGAAATACGTGGGGAATCTCCTTAATTATAGATTCTTAATTGTTTCCATAAACATAAGACTGTATATCAGAGCAGTATAAACATTCTGACAGAACATTGTTGTGAAATGTTGTGCGTTGTTTGGTATATTTACTATTATGACTTGGATGAAAAACAGATATTAAGCAACATTCTGGTAAAAATCCAGAAAATATTGAAAAGCTGTAGGGTAATGAATGAATAGGTGAAAAGGGATCATTCACAAAACATGAAGTGTAAAAGGTAAAGTGTATAGAAATGGAAAACCTGTTTTAAGCAAGTCAAATGAGGGTCAAAAGTAGAGCAACCGCATTTCACATCCATTGGTCAAGGGATTCCGAATGATCTCCAAATTGCCTCAAACTGATGTCATCGACACAAGCTTAAAGCCAGTTGACCTTGCACTGCCTGATGCTTTCATTCCCGGACCCTACATGCTCATAATATGCATGAGGTACATGTCTATATTGGGTGAAATGATCGTACATCAACTCGCTCATTCTCTACGATATGATAGATCTCTAATATCAAAAGTCGCCTATGCAACAGATAAACTAGCAAATCTCTAAGCAAGTGACGCTCAAATAAGTAGACAAAGCCAAATGTTTCATATCCGTCGTGATAATTGCTTTACCTGAATAACTGTCTGCATCTTTACCCAGACGTCAGCCATGTCATACAGTTTAATGTCTCCATCTTGTTGACTTGTAGGTGAAGCCACGGTCTGCTGCAGATGTCCCAAAACTACTGAGTGTGCAGTGGCCACAGCATTAAACTTGTCAAAAAGCAGCTCTAGAAGTTCCAAGAGAAGCCTAGGGAAGGAGCAAAAAAAATAAAACAACATCAGAGTTGTAGACAAATGTCTGCATCAGTCACGCCTCTTCTCATGTCTCCTCATCTGTAGCAATGCAACTAAAACAAGGAGGCAATAGTGGGTTCATGAAATTATTTTAAACAAAGTCCTAACATTTGTTAGCCAATTTTAAATTCCATATGCACACCAGAATTCATAAAGATCAGAGAGGTATGGAGTGGAGATGACAAAAGTCATATAGGCCACTACTGAATTTACAAACTCTCTGAATGACAACAGCCTCTAGGCTTCTCATCTTTACTTTGTTAGTAAGGGTGGGTGATGTGATTGGAAATGACTGGTACTCCTCAACTCAGTCACCAAGAGCATAAAGTATTCTTGACCAAAAGCTCCACATCTATTGTATTTTTAAATCAAATGGGTTTATGTCAGGAAGAGTTATTGTACAATCCCCTTTACTCTCAGACTTCAACTACCAAAGGCCAAGGTTCAGTTCTGTTTACATTTCTAACTGCTCCTGTCTTTGAAAGATCAGACAGCTTAGCAGGGCCTCACATGAATTAGAGCGGAGCATGTTATATTTGACCCAATACAATTCACACTTTACATGAATCATCACTGTATATGACAGCCTTTCCCAATCATATAATCCAAGTAGAAATGTTCCTCTTTCTTGTCATTAATATTAACTGCTACCTCATGTGACCTAAAGCTTAGACAGCCAAAATCACATTGTCTCAGACTACCAATAAGCACTGTGAAAGCTGGCCATACACCTAAAGATAATCTGCAGACTTTCTATGCTCAGATGGAAAAAGTGCAACAGAATCCTCCATCTATGCTAAACTGTGTGGATGGAGGAATCTCCCACTGGAAAAACACTAAATCATTTTGGCTTCTTTGGTAAGTGATTTTGTCATTTCCTTTTAGCCGTATTTGATTACCAACATATAAAAATCACAAAAGGGGTAGTACTTACAGTTCTGCATTGTTTATAGTGTATGTCAAGCCAAAAACATTTTTCTTATTTTGAATAGGGTGGGGAAGGATCAGAACTCCTGACAGGTTTATATGTTAGACAGCAGGCGGAAGGTGAAGTCGGGACAAAAGCCAAGGTCAACAGCAGGAGATACAGGTACAACGGGCTCAGGAGGCAAGCTGGGTCAAACACAGGACAATAGAAACTGTCAGGTCACAGGAGCTGCCAACCAAGCAGCAACTTACCCAGGTTGTGCTGAACTTTGAAAAGGGCAATAGGCATCAAAGCCAGTGCCAGACACGAGTGGGCAACAGTAACGCTCAGGGTCAGGCCTGAACTGAAATATGGCTTAACATACACTTTAAAAAAAAAAGATCTAAGCTGTCATTTACAAAACCTCAGACACAATTTATAAGGTGATTTGGGAGAAGAAAAAAGCTCTAAGTCTGGGAATGCAGAAAACATACTACACAGTTACGCTTATGTGTACTTAGCAGTGCCTTCTAGAAATGTCATTGTGTATTTTGCTGTCAACTTTTATTTATTACATTGTGCCAATTTCCTTTCTGTTTGGGCAAATAAGAAATTTTGATAAGGAATTTAAGTATTACCTGCATTAAAATAAGAAATGAAGGAAAGACAGATGCGCATAGTGTTCATGTGCACAGACCATACATTTAAAGCTATGAATCCACATGTTTTCATACCTTGGCTGATTGTCTTGAGTCACATTTTCCCCTCTTTGATAGCCATTATCTGCCACTTGAGTAGTAGAGCGTTTTACGATCTGTTTTAGGTCATGCTCCAGGCGTTCTTTTATAGCTTTCACGGTCTCTGGTATCTTTTTCAGCTTCGCCAGACCTTTGATGAGAATTCCCATAAACACAATGCTGTTCTCCTCGGGGTCAGAATCAGGATCTTCTTTTATCTCTTGAAGGCTCAGCTCCTTCACTAGAAAGGGAAGTTAACCAATCAAAGGACAGTGTATAGGCATACAAACTAAACAAGACTCATCTTTTTAAAAATGTATATCAAACAAAGCAAAATGAAAGGTTGCAACATGTTAAATTGGCCTGAGCGTCTGAAAATTAATAAATATTTATACAATAAAAAATTGGTCTGAGCATATTGCTAACATTTTCAGAACAAGTCATGTTCAAAGATTCCCTGGGTACCACCAGTGGATCACCTATCTGGTAGCACTTTGTGAATCTGCCATCTCACAGTAGACATTTCTGAATACCAAGTATTCAGATACCTATTTAAAAAAATGCATTACTGAAGTCATTTTTCTGGGGACAGTAGGAAAATTAGCTCTACCTTCTGGATGACTGCTACAGACATCAAAATTTTGTTTCTACAGTATTGATAAATTAACCCAGTAATCAAAGTAGGATTAAACATTCAATTATTATTTACTGTCTCCCCCAGATCAAGGTAATAGCAGTGCTTTCAATGTTTTTTTTCCTAATTTTGCTCTGAAACAAATGTTCTACTTTTTTTTTTTTAGATGATCCCAGCCGTATCGGCTTCTGCCTCTTCCCAGAATATCCTATGATGGAACGTGCACTGTTACATCACACATGCAGGAACGATTACAGGGAAGCCACCTGTCAATCTAAAAGCTGGTGTGCAGGCCAGCACTGCAGTTCACAGAGTTATCTGTGTCTGTGCTGTCTCTTTGCATACACAGCGTAGTCGCAGGAGCGTGCACAAAAAGGTGGCTCCAGGGAGACTCGGAAAAGCAAGGAGCCACCCAATAAGCATAAATATACACAAGAAGACCTACTTTTGATTATGCAGAAACGAGGGCTTTGACGGTAGAATAACACAGCAATTAGGCAAGCATGTAAATTGTGTACCTGCATTTTACTTAAATTATGTGTTTAATATGACTTTAAACGAAAAGAGTAATACATATTAACACTCAATATACTGTATATGTGATCAGCTCACCAGTATCTCAAGCCAAATAAGGTGGTTAGAAGTAAACAATGAATACTCAATAGATGTAATAATGCATCAGCTATAGACATATTAAAAATAAATTCTGTGCTCTGAGGAATAATTGCCTTTCAAAAATGCTTGAGAGGAACTTGACAAACAGAATGACACTGTGCAGGTCCCAATTTCCAGTCATACAAATTACTTTTGTAATTGGGTTTCTTGTTGATATTCTAGGAGTAATTTATCGTACAAAATTCTATTTAACCAAATCTATACCTGTAAGGATGCATACATTAAGTCTAATCTTTTTATATTACATAATCTAATTGATCTAGATTTATCAACTTTTTTTTTATTTGTGACAGATTCTTTTAACTGCTATAGATTATGAATGGCTTTCCATATTGATATAACCTTATTTATTAGTAGGCATACGTCCACTGTAGGGCTGCAAACCATCAAAATCGATAATAATCGATAATAGGAATAGTCATCAACGATTCTCATTATCGGTTAGTTGGTTGGATCCCCAAGCACTCTCCTCCATGCTGGGAGCAAGCTAGAACTGGCCCCCCGTTTAAAAAGTTTGAGGACCCCTGCTTTAGCAGATCGAAAAAATAAATCGGCTAACTAATCGATTATGAAAATAATCATTAGTTGCAGCCCTAGTCCACTGCTTTTTCTACTGTGCATAGCAAGTGTCCCAATGCTACAACATAATCCGCTGATTTTTCATAAACTGAAAAAAAGCATACAGAACAAGGTATCTGGGTTACAGCTACATGCAAAAAAATATACCTAACTATACCATATATTTGATAAACAGTATATAGAAAACACACAAAATGTTCTCTCAAATTTCAAATGTATTTTTCCCCACACAATGTAAATAACAATTTGGTCTAAAAGAGGTTTCTGAACTTTTAATGGCAAATTCATCTAGATTACAAAGTAAAACCTGCTAGCATTACTGTATAAGCCGTTCCTCCTTTACGCTATGCAGGAATGTGCATATACAGTACTTGCCAGGGCCTAGGGCAATTCAAGATAAATACAAAAGACTGACGTACTACCTACTACTACTACATAGCATTCATGGGGGTTAAGCCAGACAGCAGCTGTATATTAGATACAGTAAAAAGTATTCATATGAGAAATACATGTTTCTTTCAGGCTTAGAGGATTTGGACACCGGCAAAAACAAAAACAATGACCAGTCTGATATAACCACTCCCAGCATGCCTTAGTTTTATAACAAAGTAAAGGTGAGAGTAAGACCATAAAACACAGAGGGGTGAGACCTATGTCCCCCAATTAACTCAAAGAAAAGGATTTTACAGGGAGTACAAAAATGTATTTATTGCAGGACACATGATTCAGAGACAACTGGGACAGCCAAAAACAGTCCAACTGAGGAGTTGGCTTACAGAACTTGTAAACAGAAAGCTGGGTGGCAGTTTTGCAAATCTGTGAAAAAAGTTGCCTAATACTGAAAAGCCCAAGAAAAACTTGCAGATCTAATACAGTGCATCTTGACAGAAAAGAGTGGAACCCAATCCCTAAGGCCTGCCGCACGTATCCATTAGGATACAGCCGGATGGCCTCGGAAAAGGCACGGCAAACGCACTTATTCCGTACGCCCAGGTGTGAACCCAGCCTAAAGTGCACTGAGTACTTGGAGAACTAGGGGGTGAGTGAATTACTCTCATCCCCATAGTTAGAGCCGACGTGTGACATTGAAACTGATCGGGAAGCGAGTGAAAACATACCACCACTCGCTCACTTCACCAATCCTCACTTCTCCCTGCAGAGAGCGGTGACTATCAGTCACTCCTCCCTGAAGGGATCCCCCTTGCACGAGCACGTGGGAACAGCTGGCTCTGCCTCTAGACAGGTAGAGCCCGTTGTCAATCAGCCAATGGGATGAATCTCGACAGTATTGTGAGGATCCGTCCTGGCTGCGACACTCTCAGAATATAGAGGGCAATAGTCCGCTGTATACTGAGTTTTGGGTCACAGGAGTAGGTTAGTCTATGTCCTTCTGTGACCTCCTGCAGGCAGCAGTAAGGACCATAGTGGAACCTTGTGTCTCTTGCAAATAAAAGCAATGATGGGAACATTGTACTTCACACTGAGGCTGGGCTCACACCTGGGCCTACGGAATATGCGCGTTTGCCGCGTGTTTCGTGTCAGACGTTTTTACCGTGATTTGCGGTAAAAGAAACGCGCAACAAACATGTGTTTCCGAGGGCTATCCGGCTGTATCCTAATGGATACGCGTAGCAAATATGCCCCAAAGAAGCTCCTGTACATCTTTGGGCATAGGGCGTTTTACAGTGCGTTCCTACGTGCTGTAAAACGCCCAGGTGGGAACCATGCCCATAGGCAATTATTGGTTTTCACATGTTAAGCGTTTTACAGCGCGTAGGAACACGCTGTAAAACGCCCAGGTTTGAACCAGGCCTAAAGGTGGGAACTAAGTGCAGAGTGAGCACATGTGGCCCTCAACCCAGTGAAATAGCACTCTATACCACAGCGTTTAAATTCTCAATGTGGAAAATAAGAGGATAATATAAGCACCAAACAGTACCAATAGTTATAGTTGTTCCCCATGTTTGGCCCGCACAGCCTACTCATAGATCAGTCTTCAAGGATTAGGTCACACCATGGGTTACTCCATTGGTCTGGACCTTGAAAGCACTCAGTGACTAACTAACACAGTACACAGAGGACTGGAACACACCACGAGCAGAGCCAATGCCAAGGTCACATTCCAGGCAGACCATGCAATTGTCCAGTCCAGCACAGCAGCAGCTTGTAGCTGAAGTCTTAATTGAATTAAAAAATAGCTAGTAGTTCCATGTATACCTCTGACCTTCAGATAGCCAAATATTAGCAAATATAGAGGATTGTGTCGTATGTTGGAGAGTATGTATTGCCCACTGCACAACATTTGATGTTAACAGTGATTCTGTATACTTGTAAGATTTGCTGGCCAATTGTAACAACTCTGCAATGCAAGCCTAGGATCTCAACTGCGGAGTGTGTACCTCACGGTCTGTTCAGTAAGGGGTCTCGGCTTTTACTCTCTCATGAAATTAGAGCAGTGTGTGAGACATGTCACATCATTCAGAACCGTGGTATCTAAAGTTGTAGTTACTGGGGGTGAGAGGGTTAACTTTGAGGTAGACACCCGGTGGTGAAGTATGGTACTGAGCACTAGTGCTTAATCCACTATCTCCCCTTAGGTTAATTAAATCAATTCACAGATTATTTATGTAGACAAGTACTAGTGCAAATTGTATACAAGGTTTTGCCTCAGAGAGTCCAGTATTACCATAGAACAACTTTACGTGGTGATAGTATTGATCTACAGTCAATTCACACAGTTGCTTATATATGATATGACTAAACCAGTTTAAGCAATTGCTAACGTTATGGTTAATGGGAGAGTAGTAGCAGATACTTGCTGTTTGTGAGGCTTGCTGCTGCTGGCACTCCAAGTGGGTGTTTAGCTGATTGATGCTTGGCTCCTGGGTGTCAGTCCCCCTGTGCTGGATGGTAGAGGATTCGGGGCTCCTTCACTGTGAGGGAATAGCTGGCTATTTAGAGGTCCGCCTAATCGGTCTGCGGATTGCAGAGCGTGAATCTTCGGCGTTCACTGTTGCAAACAGTAGGACGCCGAAGATTCGTGTGGCCGCGTCTTAAGAGGGCTCCTGCGCTTGCGCCAGGAGGAGCCACGAGCCGACGTGCGCGTGCGCTGAGAGAGGCAGCCCTGGCCCGTTGTGCGCATGCGCGGTCCCGTATCGTTATTCCGGGACGGGAGACGGTGAGTCTCTTACACCAATATAAAATAGGCAAAACCTCAGCCTCATGCTGCCCATGATTGCCAACTTAAATACATACCAGAAGAGCAGCCTGGAGTCCCAAACTGAGAGTTATCTAGGAATCTGCGTGGTGTTGACAAGTTTGTGACATCAAGAAGTGGAACTGGGGAATCTTTTGCAGTAGAGCTACAAAAAAAACAAAAGAAACACATACAATAGTTACATACTATGTTTTTTCTATCATTTAAAGGAACAGTTGGCCTGAAAATTGAAAAGAAAGCTTTGAAATGCATGCAAGGGGCACAGTCTACCTGCTCAAGGCATTTGATTTATCCAGGTACTGCAACAGCAGCCCAATTTTTTTTTATTGATCTGCTGATCTAAGAATTCCTTTCTCTTACCGGTTTTAATGCTCAAAAGGTATTTCTAAAGACATTCACAGTAGGCTACTAATTTTCTCTGGTGGTGAAACTGTCAGTACTAAGACGTTTCTCATAACCACCAATCACATTCAAACTTGTCTTTGCAACTTTAGTCTGGCTGGAGATTCATCATGTGGACAGAGCGGACGTTTCACTGCACATGCTATGGGAAGTAAATCCTCCCAATGAACATGTCAGGTGCTGTCTGGCTGCAGGGGATTACAAAGAAGTGAAATTCAAGTATCAACAATGGGATCATAATGCAGCATCACTAGTAAAATGACATAGCTGTCTTCATAAACATTAATAACCCTGATAATCTGCACAATATACCTTTCATCCCAGCATCCTACATTTTGTTACATAATTCCTTTCAGTCAGCTGACTACGTTGCAGCACCCTTCCACCATACCTCTAATCGCTCTGGATGAAAACTATAGTGCAAAGCGATAAAAACAGTCACAGGCTTTGAGTACAGCTTAGCTCCAAGCTTGTCACTTGCCTTTAGACTAGCCTTTCTCAACCAGTGTGTCATGGCACACTGGAGTGCTGTCTGGCTTTTTCAGGGGTGCCTCAAAATTTTCGCACAGTATCATGCCTCTGTAAAGAGGGACCCCTAGTGTGAGAAGGAGGGGTCTTCTAACGTGAACGATGTAAAGGGGTACTCTGATGTGAAAGGTGGGAGGGCACAAACTAGCGTCCTCCCGTCACCTTAAGCTCAGTATACCGCCAGCTAAAGCTGGCGGTATACTGAGGCGCCGCAGCTGAAGCGGATCCCGATAATTGTGCCACTATGCATTTTGGAAGGGCCACAAGTCATGTTTTACATTTTACACTGGGGTGCCTCCAGATTGTGCATACTTTTAAAGGGTGCTGTGAAAAAAGGTTGAGTAATGCTGCTTTAGATCATCCCAAGCCCTCCCTAATCCCATCCAGTATCCCCTTATCCTGTTCACATTCACCCACTGACATTTCCCCACTATATGCCAACACCGAAATGACTCCTAGGATATAGTTAGGATAGTAACTTTCAGGACTTGCGGATGCTACCAGGAAGCACTGAATAACCCTGCCTACCACGCTCTCCGGACTTGGACATTAGGAGTCTGATTCGGAACTGTGAGGTTAGATTTTTCAAAAATCAAGGAGGTAAGCAATGTTGGGGCATCAAGTATAATAGTTCCGCCCAATGTTCATTTCATGCTGATGTGATGAGATCAACGCAATCGCCGCTCAAACTACACAGATGCAGTGAGGGGACCCGTCACCCTGCTTGGCATACAACAGCTACAAGTATCCAGTCCCCTTAACAGGAATTTGCAAAGATAAAGCCTGTGAAGGATGGCTTCACAAAGGGTGGATAAGAGGAAAGCGCTGTTGGTACAAGGTAAATAGAGCTACCATTATTAAATAGTGTATATCTGCCTGACAGATCACCAGAAACCCACACATTGAAGTACGAGAGGGGACTTCATCTGTTTTAATGTACTTTCATTTTGTACTTTTAGGGCTTATGTGCATGGCTGCCTAGCTCTGACACACAGCCCTGCCCGGATATTTCTCCACTGCCCTTAAGTAACACTTACATTTCTTGTTCCTCTATCAGCCTTTGATTAGACAGTGATAGGAGAAGTAGTACAATGATAAGTTCATCCATTTGTCACTCTGACTTTTCTCCTATCAGCATTGTGTCCCTGGTTAGCACATGAGCACTGCAATGAGCTGGTTCTCTCTCCCCTCAGTCTGAGTTATGCTTTACAGTGGATTGCAAGAAGCGAATACCAGGTGAAACTCAAGTACTTAAACTGCTTGCATTTAAAAAAATACATTTAATTATATGTTTTCAACATATATGTAACTTTGAATATATGGACAAAAGGGGCCAAGGAAACTATTTCCTTTAGATTATTTCTTTTGTAATTTGTCTCCCTGAATAGCATTTCAGAAAATGCGGGAATTATTTATTTTTTGTATTTTATAGATTTGCTTTATTTTCTTTAGCGCTAGATTTGTGACCTTTATAAAAAAAAAAGCACTGCTGCTGAAGCAGATATAGATCCTGAAATGAACTGACACATTCTCCAGTAAATGTAATGACTTTATGAACAAAAAAAACAACACTTTCCTGGAAATTAAAGAAAGCATTTCATATAGACATTAAATTGATATTTTCTGAAAACTGACGGCACTGTGACCTAAAGGAAAACATGTTGCATTACTCTAGTATACATTTATTGCATGAGTTTTAATGCCATGGCCATCCCTTACATAAAATGTTATAATGTTATTTTCCACTGTCTTTAACTACCTCCGGGCCGGCCGTTGCAAAAAAAACGGCTGGCCGGGAGCTCTCTAGATCTGAGCAGGCGTCCGCACAGACACGCCCTCTTGCGCGCGCGGGAAATGCCCAATATTTTAAAACAGGACAGCGATGCCTGTTAACATACAAGCGATCGGCCGGCTGTAGAGCCGGCGGATCGCTAATGCAAACATGCGTCGGGGCGCATACGTGCATAAAAAACCATTGCGCCCATTACGCCGCACATGTTACATATCGCCGCGAACGTCACAGTGAGAGCAATAATTCTAGGGCCATCGATCACTGATAACACTAAACTGATGAGCGGTAAAAGCTTTTAAAGTGTCACCTATGGCCAATTTTGGGTATGGTAGTTATCTGCGATTTCACGGGTGCGCCCAATTTTAAAGCTTGACATGTTTGGTGTCTATTTACCCGACATGACCCCGACTTTTATATTTTACCAAAAAACTGGGTAATAATAAATGTTCCCTAACAATGTAAAAAAAAACCTTTTTTTTCCCCCGAAATATTCAGTAATTTTTCCCAATTATAGTAAAAAATAAAAACCGCAGTGGTGATTAAGTACCACCAAAAGAAAGCTCTATGTGTCCCCAAAAAATGCTATAAAAATGTATTTCAGTACAGCGTTGCATGACGGAATAAACGTCAATCAAAGTACCGCAGCGCTGAACACTGAAAAATGGCCTGGCCAGGAAGGGGGTCTAAACACCTGGTCTTCAAGCAGTTAACTGTGCAACTCACTCATCACTTAGGATGCAATTTTATATGGCCGCTCAGTTGTGCCCACTCATGAGTGCAAAGCAATGATGGCAGCCTTAACTTGTAGTAGAACTACTTTAAGGCTGCTTTCATACCAGCAGCTGTGCTACAACACACCCCAGACACAGTCCTGATGTGCTGATCTCACCGCATTTAACTATTTACCGTTTTTATTTTTATTAGAACTTTATTGAAATGTAAATATGGTACAAAAGAAGAAAATGTGTATTTTCACCCTCTATAAAAAGTCACCTTTTCTTTGAATATCACCAGCACTAGAAACATGCGTAAAATAATCTTGAATATTCACTTCATGTTATGCTCCAGCATCAAATGTGAAGAATTCTTATTTACTGCAAGGAGTTTGCATGTTCTCCCTGTGCTTGCCTGTGTTTATTTTGGGTACTCTGGTTTCCTCCCATTCTCCAAAGACATGGTGGTAGGTTAATTAGCTTCTGTCTAAGGTTTAATTCAAACAGCCACAGTGGTCTGACACTGTCAAGAAGAAGCATTTTTCTGCGCCCAGGAGTCACTGGTGTTTGCATTCAGTCACAGCCAGCAGCCTATACAAATAAATGAATAGCTGACAGATGCCATGGCTGTACGCAAATTAACCATACATCCAAATGGTTACATGCATACAGGGACAGATGAGCGGTTGTGCTGTTAATTGTGCGGATGGTCGGTTAATAGCGTACAGCCGAGAAGGATGTCAGCCTGTCATTCATGTGAATAGGCTGTTGGCAATGGTTGTACGCAAACACCTGTTACTACCGGGTGCAGAAATATGGGCTTTCCTGATGGTGTACAGCCCCCTCTGGGGCTATGTTATCTTCAGCACCATCTAGTGGCCATAATGCAGTATTTTTAGGATTCACTACTGCCCATAATATTTGAAGAACATTCAACAAGGAAGAGAAAATAGAGAGAACATTTGATGTTGCTCCATTCTCACAACAGCTGGTTAATGCCTGCAGATCCAATGTACATGCCTTTGGTTGGATGAATAGATATGCAAATTATTTTATTTTTTAAAAAAAATCAGAATTTATCCCAAATTAAAAGTAGAAATGAAACAAGTATCCAATTGATAATTTTTCCTGCAAAATCCTATATTTTCTCAACAGTGAAGTTCTGTCATCTACTGCATTTTACCTACTGTGGTTACAAACAGATTCACAGAACTCCCACGGTCAAGAGGCATCACTTCTTTCATAGAGAAAGCTTTTTTTTTTATTAGAGTAGTGAAGTGCATTGACAAACCCAATGCAGGGTATTTCGCTCAGTATAGTCTTCCTAAGACATGCAGAAATGAACACCAGATCAAACAATCTGCAAATCAAAGAATCCATTTGTATTTTGTCTTCTGCACACAAGAAGCATACACCAGCATCTATTAGATTTGCAGTACAGCCAACGCTTAAGAAAAGTCAACAATCAGCATTCTCCGTACTCGCCCACTGACTGAAAATGAAGGAGAATCTACAGCTTAAAAATGTGCTGACTGGTGACCTTATATGATCATACAGCTCTTAAGGGTAATGCCCTCAAATTAAAGGCAACAGGAAAATTACTACAACCTTAAAGCCGTAATATATTACACACAGGGAACCAATAAAACAAGAATTATTAACTTTGGCCTGCAACCCACTGAAAGTCCTAAATTACGTTTATTGGTAACGTGATGCTTTACTAAAACAGCATGTAAAAATCCAAGAGTTAGAATACACTATATATAGTTATTGCCTAGTATAAACTATTTCAATAAATAGCAAGGGGGCAATAAGGGTTATTTATAAAGTGTGTTAGAGGCAAATAAGAGCGGTGTCATTAGCAATCAATCAGGTTACCTGCTTAATTACCTAAGTATAATGAATAGGAATATTCGGTTCTCTCTGCATAAGCTCCGTACTGTCTAGTGTCTCTTAAGTGATGTCACTGTGTAGCCGCCCACAACGCGTTTCATCATGTGACTTCTTCTGGGTTGTTTCTCTAATGGTCCATCATATTTGGTGAGTGTGGTCTATGTCATTTGGGTCGCACACGTATGGAGAGATGCATCACTTGAGAATATGTTATGCACAGCTCTATCAAGAGACTTGTCTTTGCACTTTAATGATTACTGGATGCACTGAAAAATTCTGCTTCTTCAAATTGATTGTCGCTATGTGAGAGATTTATGTTTTGCACTTTAAGGACTGTATATGCAATATTATCTGGAATTTGAATGTAATTTATTTTCTATTTACTAATTTTAGCACTGGGCACTATATGGTATTGATGAAATTTAGAGTGCGATTGCTCTTTTGCTTTTAGTCATTAGCTTAAAAAGGTTAGATTAGGAGTGTGGACCGGTTTTATATATTTATTGAAGTATATTTTATTTTTTAACTTGTCAGAGTAGCAGAAGTAGAGACAAATGAGACAGATTGGTCATTTCATATTTAGATAATAATATGTCTAAGTAGATGTCATAAAAGTCACAGTACCTGGTTCTCATATTGTCTTTGTTCCACTGCCGCACACGACTGGTGGATTTAATATACAGGTGACGATGTAGCTCATCGATCAAAACCAAGTGCATGTTCATTTTCTTACTGTGTAGCTCCAAACGCAAGTCACTCAATCCCTCCACCTGTAGAAGAGGTCCTTCTAAGGAGTCCACTGCAGACACCTACAACAAAAAAGGCATTAAAGGGCTTAAATATCGTTTAATTAACATTTGCCTTCCAAGCAGACTACTAATCTGGTTTCACATTACAGCATAAATAAAAAAAAACAGCACCTACTTATAGACCTTTCGGTTTGAGACACAAACATATTGTATCATAGAACAGTTATGTTAACCTGCCTTTATACTTGATCCTGGTAAACATATCATTTGTGACCAGCAAGGAAGTCAGGAGCTAGCCAATGAACTAATCTCAATAGTGGTATATATTACCCTCAGTCTCTGACCACCAAATGCCACTATGCTAAACTATTTTGAAAACAACACTCATAATAGTACTGCTGCCATTTTTTAGTGAGAAAACAAATGAATTCTGCCTTACATTTCATTATTAAAGCAGAACTAAAGGTTTGTAAATTAACATTGCTGGCTTTAATTGGAGAAGTGATTTTGTATAACTTTCCTCCAATAAAACTGAATTTTTTTGCATGCCAGCAAAGTTTCTTCTAAAAGAATGCTGAGCCGTACATGCACAGCTCAGTATATATCCTCGGTATGCTGCAGTGGTGGGATAAATTAACTCATGTGTGGGAGTTACCTCATCCCAAACCAGCCAATCAAGATGGCCAAATATGCCAAACCTGGAAGTCTGGGCAGAGATGATAGTGGCAGGAACGGAGTGTCAAGGGAGATTATGGCCTTCACATCGCTGGAAGGGGTCTTTTTGGCAAGTAAGTCTACCATAAAGTGCAAATATTTTGTGCATAATTGATCTGCATTGATATATGAAGTGCAACACACTGTCCCCATGTACAGAGAGCCAGGTTTTCTCATGTACACAGAAGGAGGTGAAAAAATGGCCTCTTAGCTAGGCAGCTAGAGTAGATCAAGGAAGAGGTACAACAGCCTCGAGGGCCTTGCTGCTGCACCAGCACACCACCTGAGACACATATGCAAGAACTGAGAAGGCATATACAGTATGCTAGCTTTTTTTCCCTTGCAATTTTGCTCCATATACAGTGGCTTGCAAAAGTATCCACCGCCCTTGGCATGTTTACTATTTTGTTGCATTACCACCTGGAATTAAAATGGATTTTTATTTGGGTTACATGGAATGGACACACAAAATAGTCCAAAATGGTGAAGTGAAATCAATAAAATAAAAAACATTTTTAAATTATAAGAAATTAAACCGGAAAAGTGGTGCGTGCATATGTGCTCACCACCTTTGCTATGAATCCCCTACAAAAGATCTGCTGCAACCATGTACCTTCAGAAGTCACATAATTCGTTAAATAAAGACCACCTGTGGGCAATCTAGGTGTGTCTCATTCATTCTCTCTCTCATACATATACATACACACACACACAAAATTACATACATAAACCTGTTCTGAAAGGCAACACCACTGAGCAAGCAGCACCACCAAGCAAGCGGCACAATACAGGCCAGGGACAAAGTTGTGGAGAAGTACAGATCGGGGTTGGGTTATAAAAATATCTGAAACTTTGAACATCCCATTATTGAAAAATGGAAAGAATATGGCACACAACAAACCTGCCAAGAGAGGGCTGCCTACCAAAATGTATGGGGAAAAATTGCAGTGGCTAGATGTGCCAAGCTTATAGATGTACCCCAAGAGATCTGCAGCTGTAATTGCTGCAAATGGTGGCTCTACAAATTATTTACTTTAGGGGGTAAATAGTTATGCACTCAAGTTTTCTGTTTTGTTATTTTTTTTGTCTTAGTTCTTGTTTATATCACAATAAAACATATTTTGCATCTTTAAAGTGGTAGGCATGTTGTGTAAATCAAATGATGCAAACCCCCAAAAAACATTTTAAATTCTAGGTGGTAATGCACCAAAATAGGAAAAAATGCCAAGGAGGTGACAAACCAATGTAAAAAGTAGAAAATATGAAACTGTAGCCCTACTTTAATCATGCCAGATCCACTACTGTACACTAACAACAAACATTAGGGTTCCCCTAATATTCATTGTATACCGTATAGTCATTACTATTATTAGCAAAAATTAAAATCGATTTATTCAAGAAGGACCAAGACAGAGGATGAGTAGAAGCTTTTGCAAATGCATCATAATCTATATTTCTATAGTAACCGGCCTTCATTCTGCTGCAGTCATGACATAGGGGAGTATTTATACACAAGAGGGGACTTCAGCTTACAATTAAAAGCCCCAATTACGTAAGAAAACTATACCTAAAGTTCTAAACAACAGCTCTCCCTGGAAGGGTGGCTTCTGGGGAGGCTACTGAAATGGTCCAGTACTCCAACAAAAGTGGTGTAGACATTGCAATCAGGGCTCATTTAGAACAAAGCAAATCCAGTCAAACTACGTGTTTAGATACAAGAGGGATTCCAGTGAAAACTAAAAATTACTCAAAAAACAATACATAAACAATTTATCTATATTTTATCGCAGTTTCTTGATAATCAAATAAATATCTATGGACTTTAAAAGCTGGAGACAGCCTATCCACTGGCAGATTATTAGTAGAATATGTCTAAATTGACAGCAAACCAACATGTGAATGGGAAATATTAGACTTGCACTGCTATTAAACAAATTAGTGCCTGGTTCTGCAACAAAAGTGGTGTAGACACTGCAATCTGGGCTCATTGAGAACAATTGAAATCCAGTGAAAACAAAGAAACATTTTATTCAGCCTTAAGTAATGTAATAGACTACCCCCTTTCAGAACCCTTGCATATGAGGCAAGAACTTTGGTTTTCATCAGTATGCTGTTGTGCATTGTGTGACCACAATGTACAACAGCCCTCAGTTCCAGGCTATTCAGATAACAGGGTCCCCTGTTTTTATAAGATGAAATACTGTAGGTGTGAGGTTAAATGACACAAAAAATGCTTTAAAACATAATTATATGGCACAATTGTTAAAAACTATACAATTATTTTACTGGCCAAGTCATAAAAGTGGAAGAATCACCACTAAATTACTCTATAAACTTTTTGCCGTTTTATTAAAGCAATCAAGAAAAGTAAGAAGAAAGGGAACATTTGGCTATAAACAAATGTTCCAGTCAGCTGCCTATATTAGATCTAACCTTTTAATCACACAATTATTCTGCAATTATTCCTAGAGCTGTGTAAAGTTTATTAAAATAGGAGCTTCCCATGAAATATTTTTAAAGAAAAGAATGGGTAATTGAATGATGCATCTGACAAAACCAATCATAATAATTTCATATTTTTCTTAGCTTATTAGAAGAGACTTTGCCTAAAGTTAACATTTCACAGGCCTTTCACTGAAGATAACAACTATTTACCCATTTCTTAATCAAATACCAATTCTGAATTGTCCAGATTTGTGACAGGTTTACTTAAATGCTGTCTTACAAAGAACCTAACTGTATTTGGTATACTAAATTTAAAAGGGACTCTAAACTCCAGAGTTAAAACTTAAAAATGTACCTTAACTATTAACAAAAATTTATCTTACTTGTGTATCACTCAGCTGTAGATTCTCAAACCATCTCTGAATTGGTGCAGACACTGCACTTCCTTCTGGAGGGTGGCTACTTTTGTTCCCCATGATCCCTGTGTGTGTTGTCAAGTAGCCACCGCTCTAAGCTCCCTCCTGTGATGGACTACAATCTCAAAATATTTGTAAACTAAATGTGAGATTGTAGTGCATCACAGCTTGGAGAGGTGGCTACTTTACAACCCACACAGGGACCATGGAGAACCAAAGTAGCCACCTCCAGAGGAAAGAAATAGTGTCAGCATGAATTCAAGAATGATTTGAGGATCTACAGCCAAGTGATACACAAATAAACTACATTGTTTGTTAAACGTTAAGGTACTTAAATGCATTTTTTTAAAGATTTAACTGGTGTGTTTGGTGTCACTTTATTACATTGCTGTATAGTCTCCCTAGAGTTTAAGGCTTTGCAGATTCTAATCTTGTTATAACCCAAGAACCTGTATTCCAAGTTGGAAAAACCCCCAACCCCACCGCAAAACCATTGGCAAAACCCCCAACCCCACCTCCAACATCTAGCACCTAGTCCACGTAGTGAATCATCTATGCTACTGAACTATGGTGATATTGGTCTGTTTATGACTACCCTTAGTAAGAGAGTATTTACAGATATCAAGACTGACTGACGACTGCTTGCAATTACAGATTTCCATTTAACAGAGGCTTAACACTCTTGTTGACAAGTTATTAAAATATTCAAAAAGGGCCCCAATCCCTGTAATACTGACCTTTTCCCTTGGTCCTGCCACTCCTTTGATTGTAATTGCATCTGCCTTTGCCTTATTGGTAGCCAGCTGAACCCAAGATGACCAGCACACAATTAGGCTCATTCAACAAGATACTAAAACAAGCAACTGTAGCGGGTAAAGTGCAGAAACCTATAGCAACTAAATTTAATTCTTCTATACTAAACGTATAAAAAAAACAAGTTATTTAATTTTACTAGAGTCACAGCTAACAAATTATTGAAATATGGTTGCTATGTATTGCTGCACTTGGCATATTACAACGGCGGTTTTTGGACTGATATATTGAACAGCCCCCCTTGAATTGGGCTCATGACTTTTGGCCATGGTAATTATACTGAATATGCTGCTAAGATTAAACCCTTAATTGTCATTATTATTAAAACTCATTAACTAGAACATTTATCTGACATCAGATGAGGCCCCTCAAGCTAGACTTTTTTTTCCAGATAATCCAAATTCCCATTCTATCCTGTTTACTAAATCCAACAGAATACTTCTATTGCTACCACTAAAAACACCTAAACACCTATCAATATATGGAAAGTTCCCTTGTACTGACCTTGACTACCTTTCTACACAGTAATCACATTTGCGGTAAAATGCCACTTTTCTCATGTAAATGATTGGTAAATTGGCTAGTCTTATCCTATAAATCTCCTATAAATCAGAGCTCATAATGCAGATATTTCTCTTATGTAAATGGGATCAAGATCCATCTCAAGGGAAG